AAATAACGTTAATGAGGTTTATTTCACTGAGAGACAAGTCTGGAGCGTGCTGCTCGAGATCACAAAACAAACAAGGATTTTGTAAGAAAAGGGGAGAATTCACCTGACGCGCATTTAAATCAGACAAGTTCCATTTGACGTTTGGGGAAATATTTTTCTACGTCTCCCAAATGAAGCGAGGAGTCGACGCCAGAACCTGTTTGTTTTGTTAATAAATGACAAAATTCTGCAAAGGCACTGATGCGGTTGTTCCCGCTGTAGACTGTGTGTGTAAGCAGATCAGAGTCTTTGTTCTATACGTGTTAGCTCTGTCGTCAGCAGAAACCTGTCATCATGTTAATGCTGCTGCAAGGGGAACATGAGGAGAAACTAAGGAACCTATCATAGTAAGACTTGAAAAATGGAGCAAAGTCTCTTTTTTACACTCCTCCAAACCAAGGCGAGGTTGTTTATCACTGCGGGAAGATGTTTGGTTGCCTCTCTGGTACGTCTGCTCTGGGCCCTAAAGCTGATTTAGCTACAAGAGCACGTTGTCTTCAAAGCATGTCAAAATTTTTCCACGCACACTAATGAGGTAAATGGATGGCTTTTGTTTTCCTCACAGTTTTAACTTCCCCCAAAGTGCTCTCATGACTAATACACGAGCTGTTGCGGAAATCAGCCTTGAGCATTTAATCAAATTTTTCACTCTACAGAGTGATCAATTTGTGCTGCAATATTCATCTGCCACACACACACATACACACACACACACACACACACACACACACACACACACACTCCCCCCACACACACATACAGTAGCCTATATATGTCAGCAGAAAAACAAAAGAACAGCTGCTATTTGTTCTCATTAAAACAAGTCACTTGGAAGGTAAAATGCTAGTGTGACAATAATGTTGCTGTGACAGATTGTTGTTCCCTTTTTAAATGTCGGTAGATTGTGTGGAAATCATGTAAATGTCTATATATTTATACACCACACTGTACCTACTGTGATCTAATCACAAGGAAGGAAAATGAGTTCAGACACTACACGTCTCTGTAAGAGGGAAAATAAAAACACAGATTTGTAAAGTATTTAGATCTCAAAATGAAAGTTTTGATATCAGACTTGACACAATGCATTGGCAGTTTTTCTTCTAGAAATGTGTGGCTTTGTACAGTAATATAAAAGCTGCCCCTGGGTCTATAATCTGACTTCCAACCCTTAAGTGAAACAGAAAAGATTTACAGGCTCCTTAATGGAGAAACTGAAAGAATAAAAGAATCCCCCACTGGCTTGTGTTTATGTGCATATTAACAAGCAGACTTAAAGGATTGAAAATATAAAGGACATGAATAACTTACAGTAACAGTCACTCAGGGTTGTGGTACCATGGGCCTGGTTTGAAAAAGAATGACTGGAACTTTGAAATCTTTCTATTTTTCTATATACAGGATCAGGCAAACCATTTTACCAATTTTTGTCCTGTTTTTATTTTTATTTTTATTTTTTTTATGAAGAACTGGAAAGGATCAACCTGATCCAAATAAAGGCTTTTAAGGAGTTCTAAATCCTGATTTCCTGTGCTCCAAACAGAACTTCATATACATAGTCCACAGGGGGCGCCGACATTAACACATAGAGTTGTTTTAGTTTCATATTTTATGTCTGATATTAACAGCTACTTTATAAAATATATTATTGGGTAAAAAAAGTGTTTACTGCTTAACAACCCTAATGTTTGAATACTCTTCTATGTCACAGTAGAAGTTCTTAAAATCCTTTTGCCCATGAATAACATGTCATTATGATTCAGTCATGTGATTGTAAGGTGTTGATGTAAAGCAGCAGGCCTTCACCGGCTGGGTTTCTGTATATTATCAATGTAATATGTAGCTCTAGTATATCGTAACGTTTCTGAGTATTAGTTTACTATGATTGTATTATATTTCTATTGTACATTCTTACTTTGTATCAGATGACCTGTCAGGTGACTCCAGGGGTTGTTCATACGGAGGTGTGTCTCCTCGTGTGTGATTTGAAGCAGCTTCTGGTGTGCACACTCTGTCTTCCTTTTTATGTCTTTATTTCAGTCCAGCGCCCGTACTTAATGTTGTGGATGTGCGTGCTGTTTTATAAGTATTTTTTAAAGAGGAAATTCAGTAATTCAAGAGCAATAAAAACAAACAAACAAAAAATATCAATATTATGTAAAAAATGTTGTTCTGTTTGACCTATACTTTTTACCGTATAACATTTTGTTCCTATAATCCAGCTCTCTGCAGAATCAGAGATATTCCAATAACACTTAAAAGTTTCAAACTACACAAGCTGAATATTTTTTTATCCAGATTTGCAGACCTGATATTTTTCTTGTTTGTAATCCTCATTTACTTTAGAACAAATCTGTTTTCAAGTTTTGACTCTGCTATGCTAGAAGACTAAACTGGGTTTTGTTGTTGGCAGCCGTGTACCACGCTGTGCTGTTAATGAGCTAAAGCGTTTTCAATATGTCAAACTGTTCCTTCTTTATTATCATTAAATACGGTGTGAACTTGTGAGCACTGATTTGTGAAAGAGCTTATATTGTCAAGTTTGTGCAAAACTGTTGTGTTGTAGAACATCAAATATATATATATATATATATAATTTTTTTTTTTTCCAAGGGTAAAATATATATTGTTCATTTCATTGGCTCTTTGTGTTCTTTAAGTTGACAAATAGAGTGTGCTAAACGGCTTTTTCTGCAAATCAGTAGTTCCCCGAAACCAAGAATCTCACCAGACGGCTTCAAGCCTCTATGTAGGCCAGTGAAACGGTTCTCTTCTCAGCTCTAGAGAGCAGCCCTCCCCGGCAGCCCTGCAGTGTTCTGCTTCCCCCAGAAAGCTTCCAGAGAGCTGGCCAATCAGAAGAAAGTGGACACGTGGGCCTGAAAAAGACAGCTGCTGAAACAAACGTTTTCAGGAAGACACCAGTACGAGATAAATAAGGAAGTTTTTAAAGCTGCAAATCATGCAAAGCTGCTCTATAGGTTTAACATCATGAAAGGTGAAAATGAGTACGATAGGTGATCTTTACCGTTTTCCCCTCAGATGTTTTCTTCAAAGCTGTGTTCACAGGGCTGATTCTTGAGAGTTGTCTCCATTTGTGACTCCAGGAGCCTGCACTACGAAGCAGGATTTGGGGTTAGCGAGGTAACTTGAGGGTTTAACCTGGGTTTTCAGTATACCTGAACCATAACCTGCTCCGGAGAAGGTTATGTTCGAGATAAGAGACCAACCTGTGAAAATCTGTGCGGAATAACTTCGTCTGTCGGGCTCTTTGTGTTGTAGTTGACACATCTAACCAAAGAAGTAAATACTCTATTAAGCTTGGATGGGCTTCTGTTAAACCATGTTATGCTAAGCTATTTGCTTGTAGTTGATTCCACTGCAAGCCAACACCTTCAGCCTGGTTACCATTTACGTATCTGTACGGAGGCAAGTCAACAGGAAGTCCATAGATTCCAATGGGAATCCCCTCTGTAATGTTTCGGTCTAGAATGTGCTTTGAGTAAGTTAGAAAATAACAACTTTTTGCTGTTGATTTTCGGAGAGACTGTATGACAACGTGCTAGCTTGGCTAAAAGGCATGCTTACTAGCTAACAGGCTATTTCCTTTGATTCAGTTGCCGATGTTGATTGTAAAGCAAGTTTGTGTGATTAATTAATAACTGATCAAGTTTTAATTCATTGTGAATCTGAATAATGTTAATAATCTGCTAAAATATGGTCATACTTTACAACCAGTCTTTATCAGTTTGATATTAATTACAGTCAGATCTGTCAGTTTTGATATGAAATAAAGTCTACCTCTTTATCAGTTTGTTAAAATGAACAAAATGAGCCTCTCCCCCATGGCTTCGGGTAGCTTCTGACAGGTTTGAGCTGCTAACATTCCCCTCTGCTGTTCTCTTTTTGTTCATCATAGAGAATCACAGAACAGACAGTAACAATCGCACACAGGAGGACAGCAGCAGGATTTGTAGTGTGTACTGTGAGAGCCAACCGTTTCTATTTGGTATTTACAAGTTCTAAGTTCAAAGTGAAACCAAACAATGTTCATTGTCATGTTCTGAAAAAGAACAAGAAAATGAGTCGAAAGGCGCTTTTCACCATGTACGTTACCTGATCACTGTTGTTTTTCTTGATTTCTCCTGTTAGGAGGATTTCTTCAGCAGACCTGATGAGAGTGTGGGTGGGAGTGTGCCGATGGAGGAGCTCAGACAGATAGGGGGGGAGGAGGGTTATTTGTTGGTGATAAGAAGTTTGAAGTGAAGTCAGTGGAGGTCATGAAGGACAGGGGTGATGTGGTCATGGGTGTAGGAGTGTGTTAGAAGAAGAGCAGAACAGAATTCTGGATATATTGTAGCTTCTTGAGTGTTTTGGATGATGATGAGACTATCGCAGAAGTCTAGTCTGGAAGAGATGAATGCGTGGGTGATGATCTCATCAGCTGAAAAGGAAAGGGATGAAGGGAGGGTGGCAATGTTGAGATGGAGAAGGGCTGTTTTAGTGATGTGTTTGATATGCCAAGGTTACAGATGCAGAAGGGAGCATGGTGGAACTGTCGATGGAGAGGGGGATGTTATGGGTGTAATTTGTCCTTACTGGTTGAAATATCTGTAATCTTTTCTGGTCAACATGAGCTGCTCTGTATCGAGTTCAGAGAAGAATGCTTTATCCTAAAATCATGTGAAAAACATTGGACATGATATCAGTGTTTAATATAGTGAGCATGCCTCACAGAGCCAGTAGCTCTAAACCTTAAGTTGTGTTATTTTGATGCATTCAAAAGCAATTAGTTAAAAAGAAGGCACAAATTAAAATAAACTCACAAACAATGAGCCATGGCAAAGCCTTGCATAAATGATTTCCATCCCAGAGCTCATTAGCTGACTCTACAAAGTTTATAACCACTCTGGACCCAAGACAAAAATCAACACAACAGCAAGAAGAGAAACACAGACCACTGATCGAAAATGCTAAAGACAATTTATTAGTAGACACTCATCAGCCAGAAATGATAACCACCTGAAGAATGTCTTCCTGAAATACACCATTTGATTGGCAGTGTAAAATAAGGCAAAGGGCTTTAGATCATATTTTTTTTTACACTTTTGCACCAACGATTAACAGTTATACATTCACTTGTTACTGTAGTTACGCTTTTGATTAATCTGTCCTTACACCCACATACCGAGAACAATTCATTAGCAGGGAGCAGGGGCTGACAAGAGTATCTGCAAGATTAGTACTCATTATAATGCAGCAGCTGTGTTGGTCAGAGCTAACTTACACAGAATCTGACCACAACCTAAACAAAGATTAACTTTTGGAATAGCAGAAGCCAACGCACTATACTGACAATAGCTCATACAGATACCATCACCGTGAAAGGGTTATACCACCAAAGTTGTTAAAGACCTTCATAAGTTGATTATAGTGTGTATAGATTTGTATATCATAGTATACCATTGATTCATAGGTGAGTATGTGTCGTTATTTTATAAAACACAATTTCCAATTAGCTGCAAAGCTCACACAGTAACTGCTACTTTAAAGAGGACTGTTTGGGTTGTTCCTGAAATCACAGTTCATCATTACATGTCGGCTATTTTCCGGTGACAACATGCTTAGGGTATGAAAGCCAAATGCCATCATAATGTCATACTATTGTGTACGAGGTCGGCAAACTCTATAAAAATAGCAACAGCTAACAGGTTTTACCTTACTACGTCCATATTGATGAGCAACTGGAAAAAGAGATTTGAGAGTAGAAAATCCAGAAGACAACCGGCCATATGTCAAGGTAATTATTAGAGTTCTGATCGAGTAGTCTGATTGGAGGAGAGGCATTTTATGAATTTTGGTATGGAGAACATCACTGGGACCTATACCTATTTTAAAATAGGTTTCATTCCTGGCACCTCGGCCAGGTGCTCTGAAAACAGTTAACATTAAAGCAGACAGTTTTTTTTTTATATTGCCAGCTGTTTTACATCAACCAGCCACAGAAAAACACACTCTGATTTCCCTGCTTGCACAATAAATTAAAACAAAAATACACATTTACACAAAACCAAGTAGCGGCTCTGTGGTAACCATGGACACAATAAGAGCAGGAGAGTGCAGGAGTATGTTTGGGTTGCTCTGCAACAGTTCAATAACTCTGATAAAGTCAGAGTAAAAAATTGCGCTGTTTGTGTTCACACATGAACACACTTTTCAGCAGTTTTGTGCAAGTGCACTTATATTTCCAATCTTGACAAAAGCTAACATTAGCATTCAACCTCTTTCTTGCTAACTATAACTTTTGATAGTAAAATAATACACAATTAAAACTGGATACATCCTGGCAACTGTGTTAGCCAGCAGTCATGTTGGCCAGCTAACGTCAGTGTTGTGTGCTAATGTTGAGCTACGCTAACGAGTGTGTTGTTTTTACTTTAAATATGGCCTCGTGTTCTTCTGGATTTGCTCTTTTCGTTGTGCTTTCAGTTGCTGATCCAAAAGGGGTTAAAAAATGAATGATTTTTTTCAGGATCCCTCTGCTTATGATTTTTGCAAACAGCAGTGAGTGTACAACATAGTAACAGCATTTGTCGTCAGAGGACAGTAGCCACCAGGTGGTATAATGAAAAGCTTGTTGTTGTGTTTTTATTTGAAATATATACCGTCACCCTCTTTGGATAAAGACCGACCTTTCTATCGTGGTTTAATTTTCACTGTGTTTTACTTTGTTTATTTAAAGAAGCCTACAGCAAACTTAGACTTTTTAAAAAGGAGCTAGAAACTCAAATTGTGTTAGCTCACGTCTCCATTCAGTCAATGACACCACATGATTATTCAATGACTTCTTCTGTTTCCTTTTGCCTCACATTAAAAGTCTAGACATGTCTTATTTTATACAGGGGTGTAATAGATTTCTCATGGTAAAATGAATGTGCAGTTTCCACAGGTGTGCTGATATAAAAATGACTTTAGTGCAAGCTGGATGGTGTGTTAGCAATATAGCAGTCTAATAATGTTAAACGCATGATAAAGCATCTTAAGTGAGCGTCTTGTAGCAGTGTGCAATATATAATATGATCCCAAAAGATGCAGGACAACAGTTTAAAAACAACTGGACAACTCTTTCAGTATCTCTCTCTCACACACACAAACACACGCACAGTGGAGTAGCCGTGGGTAGAAATGTCGTTAGCCAGGATGGGTACTGTAAATAGGTGGAATGCAGCTCATCTGTACAGGGTCTATAGAGTCCAAACAGGTTGGGATAAGAAAGAAAGAGCTAGTTTCCAAAAGTTTTTCTAAAAAAAAAAAAAAAAAAAAAGGGACAAAAACTCTTTAGTACCTCCAAAGCACCGAGTCATATGAATGAAAGCGCACATGTTTGCAGTCATTGAGCGTCTTGAGAGTTAGACTTGTGGTTTTCAGCTGGTGGATACTTAGTTTTGGAAAGAAACTCTTCTGTTACACAACACTCTACACTGCTATTACTGAAAGAACAATTAATGACATCAAAAAGAGAAATAGACATACCTTCACCAAGAAGCACTAAATATATAGATTTTAGAAATACATAGAAAAATATATAATCATCTGAATGCCCATTATACAATTTTACACAGTAGTGTCAGAAAAAGCCTATAAGGTGGTGTACAATAGATGCGTTACATACAGAGAGTTACTGTAGGTTACGTACATGAGCGTGTTGTTGAGTGATGGCTGTTCAGGGTTGGTTAGTGTGATGGATGGAGAAGTTTGGGCATGCCCTTTTTTTTTCTTTATTATCTCATTTTGCTCAAAAATGCATTTTTAAACCGACATGAAAACCAGTCAGAATTTTTTTTTACAACCTTTTTTCTGCTTGATTTTTGCTCTTGTGAATGTCATCCTTTTGCCCGGCAATACTGTTAACTAAATCTGAAAATTGAATATTTTTTAAGTCAGGAACACTGACAGGCATCAGAAGATATTTTCACCCCATATTTTCACCTTGCAAGAACCTTGACTTCCTGTTTCTAACATCAGCCCACCCGTGTGTATAGTATACCTCATGTGATGTGGGACCTTCAGCACATGTGTTAGACTAAAGCACAAACCGAACCGTCAAAGTTAGAAGTACAAAAATGCTACAATAAGTGCACACAGCTTACAAGTGGGCAGCACTTGACACATTTGAAAGATTTATAATGTATTTTCCGTTTGTTATGGTTCTTGTTAAAAACCTTTTACACAAAATATATTTGTTAGTATGCGTTGTATAGAGGTAAACAGATGCCTGACCTTCAGAGTCAAATAGTAATTGCAAATATTTCTAATTCAGTCATTCTAACGTTGAGTCTATAGCTCATGGCCATGATAATAACTCGATCACAAACTCATGCATCAAAAAATCTAACATTTTGGTGTGATTCATATGACTGTAGGTGGAAATACTGAAATCAGTTCTAAATGAAGAAAAAACGATTAGAACCTTTATCAAACCCCTCCGATGTGGGGACTTTGATGAATCATTTGCAAATGCTATCTGACTCACAGTTAGGCACGATTTAAAGCCTGTTGAACAATTATGAACTTTTCTTTAGAAGCATTACATTTATAATTTTAATATCATACCTCACCATGTACCATGTAGTGGATAAATAGTTTCATTTCAAATTCAATTTAGAGGATTTCATACACAATATCACATGAGCCATCTCATCTCATAGTGGGGTTCAAATGAAGATATTCTGGTAGAAATGTTTTCGTAAAAAGCAGCTTTTGTGAAATTCAGAGAAAGTTCTGTCTCTGATCGTTCTGCTTTGATGCAAAGATCCATATGAGTGTGTGAGTGGGGCCTCTTTATGTTAAGGTTTTCTGTCAAGGTAGAGATGAAGACGTAGTGGAATGTGATTCAGGCGTCACGATGGGAGTCAGTCAGTATAAATCTTTAAAAGGTTTGGAATAGTTAAACATCAGATAATCCATGTAGTAGAAGTCGTAAACCCGCTGTCTCTCCAACGTGCTGACCTGTGTAAAGTATTTTTGTGTGATCTGCATAGAGGTCCTCTTGTCCGTTGGGTTCCTGTCTTTAAAAGTGGGCAGCGTGAGGTTGGACGGCGCTCCAGTCAATCGCAAGAGAAAGTTGGACTCCTCCTCCATGTTCTCGAACTTGCCGATGAAGTCGTAGTCTATGAGACACGGGTTGCAGAGCTGGTTGGCCTGCTCCCAGTGGATGTCCATTCCCACAGGCCGGTGGACGTCAAGCAGGTACTGGACAAACTCCTTAAACGTGACCCCGCTGCCTGTCTTCAGAGCCGCCCAGGATGGGTTCACGCGATACTTGGAGATTATGGGTTTCCCGAACAGGGAGTGGTAGTAGTTGTTGGGATTTTCAAACTTGTCCCTGTAGGCCGACACCATTCTCTCCAGCGGCTCTCGCACAAACATGACCTTGGTGTAGGTCTCCAGACGGTGCATGATTCCTTGTCTGTCAAAGCTGTCCAGCTTCTTCAGATGGTGGCCGTAGTGGACTGTGTCATGTTTGATGCTCTGTGCGTTGGGGGCCTGACCCGCCAGCACCATCAGGGTCCTCTTCCAGTTGGAGCAGCCTGCTTTGGGAACCTGGCAGTACAGCAACTTGTACTTGTCCTCCACAAAGATGTGTTTGACATGATGACGAGTGATGGTCCTGGAGATGCTGCTCTTGTACTTAGCACACATCTCCTTCATCAGCTGTCGACGTGCTTCCAAGATGTCAGAGAGCTTTTTCCAACTCTCAGGGGAAAAGGAGCCCATAAAGGCAGAGGAGGAAGAGGAGGAGGAGGAGGAGACAGAGGATGAGGAGGAAGAAGAGGAGGAGGCCGAGGAGGAAACATGGCTGTTGTTTTGATGATTCGGAGGGCTTGTTTTCAGCAGTTTGCGCTGTCTTTTGGAGACATGAAGTGAGCCTATGTCCTGCTCCTGGGACCCAGGGGTGGCTGTCTGTCTGCTCTCCTCAAAGTGTGGGAACTGCATCGGAGGGATCGGGCTGGACAAGATGCTCACTGCTGCCTTATGTTCCTGATAACCATCAGATTTGCCTCTTTCTCTCTCTCTTTCTTGTGTTGAAAGGGTCTATAAAACAAAGACAACACAGAATGTAGGAGTCAGCAGACAGGGTTTTTACATCAAACTGCAATATTTTCATATGACCATGTGATAAAATATGACCAAATGAACCTAGAATGGATTCTTTGAGCTGGTTTATCTGAGTTTTATCAACACAAAAATGACATGGCCTGCAGTACTCAATCAGGCCACTTGGTGTTGCTGTTTCACTACCCCTCAAAAAATTTCTAACTTTGTTGCATGCAAATGTCACACTGCCTAATGCCATCTCTGACCTATCAGTAAACTGAGCCGTAACATCATATAAATGTCTTATAAACACTTAATGGTGAATCTAAATTAAAATCATCTACTGCCTGATTAGCATCATTTGGTGCCCTGGGCCATCATGCATTCTGACATTTTATTTCAATTACATGCTGTAATGGCATCATAAAGCCAATGGACTGCATGTCTAATTTTAATTTTACAACAGACAAGGTGATGAGACCGTCATGAATCTCTGCTCATCCTCCTGCTGACTTAAATGGTCATATTCTTTCATCTGCAGGGACATCTGGAGGGGGAAGAAAAAAAAAGGAAGGAGTGGTTCCTCCCCTGTCTGTTTAATGTGCAAGGCGAGCGCAGGGCAGAAACCTATTCACCAGACAGCACGTACTTCAGAGGTTTGCACTGATGTGAGCCTCTCATCGGTGCTGACGATCACAGCAGAGATGAGAGCAAGCAGGGGTCAGCTGAGAGAGGATACAGTAGTAGGAGAGCGGCATGTCTGACATAGAAACCCCATTCATGGATTATCAAACATGATACAGCTTTCTGTGATACTATTTTAAACGTGTAACAATAGAATGATAAAATGAAGCTGGGGTCGATGTCTTTAGGGGATCGTGATAAAAATGTACCTTGATAAGAATTATGAACTTTTTACTCAATATGGAAAGATTAGACAGCCCAGCTGGAATAGTGACTAAAGCCACTTAGTCATCAGTTTTCTTATTTTGCATGAAGTGTATGAACACATTCAACCCCTGTTATCCTCCAACTATTGTTTTGACATACTTTATTAATCTTTGAGGTTTACACTTGTTTATTAGGAGACACATATATACACACACATAGGCTTGAAATACACACATGCACAAACAGGAGCTGTGGACATGCATTAATGGAGAGATGTCAGAGTGGGGCTGCTACACATTGCTACGCAGAGAGTGCGTGCAGGGGGTTCGGTGCCTTGCTCGAGGTCACCTCGGCAGTACTTGGGAAGTGATCTGGCACCTCTCAACTTCCATATTTTTGGTTTGCACCGGGACTTGGAACAGGTGACCCTCTCTAATGACTGAGCTACTGCCTGTGCTTTTTTCTTTTTTGCAGCTCATCAGACATCCTGTGTTCACTGCAGAGTCTCTGACAGGCTTTAATCTATAAAGTAAACACTCTTCATTTAGTGTTTAAGCTGTTATAATTTCTAATTTTCTGCAAAAACATTTTCTTCCACAAAAAAATGCATGACCAATGGAAGATAAAAAAAACCTGAACTCAATCAGCAAGACACTTATATCTAATGTGAAACTGCTATTTGCTTCACTTTTTGTTGTCTATCAGTTTAAGTGATCTTTAGTGAATAGAAAACTGTGTGAGACAACTGAAGTATACGACTATATGATACTATATTTTGATCAGGATATTTATTAGAATAAATATCAATAAAAAATAAATTGTAATAAAATTATTAGTCACATTATCGCGTCTTTGATGAAGGCGTGGAAAATTTAGCACATTAACCCGCTGTGATTGATATTTTTTAACCTTGAAGTTATCATTTTAGGTTGTTTGGTCAAATGTAAACAAACTCATCTTGATGCAAATAACTGTAAAAGTTGTGAGGCGAAATACTAATGGATCGTCATAGTAAGTTATTATCTTGTCGCTTTTAGTGCTGCAAAATCCAAATGTTTTGATTGAACTTGTAAATCAGTGTGACGTTTGTTTATCTAGCTGGACTAGTTGTAAATAATCCAAAAATATAAACACAAGAAAGTAGAGCCCGACCAATTAATCAGCCAGACGATCATATCAGCCGATTTTAGCATATCCAGTGACTTTGGCTAATGTTAGCGCAAATAATAATAATTACAGAGTTACTAGATTTATTCAACAGTCAAATAGCATTTCATTTGAGTATCATTGTATTACACTAGTAGTTCTCTTTCACCAGTAATCCTATATGGATTACAACAAGTATTATCACTCTGCAGAACATCGAGGGGTGATGCAGGTACATGAAGTTTTTCCAGTTGAGTCACCATCTTGTCCACATGATACTGTAAATCTTTTCCACCAGTGTTTGATAACTGCACAATGCAATAAATGTGTATATCTATATCTATCTATCCCACAGACGGAAGATAGATCTAAGAAAGATATCAGCTGATATGTCATCGATATCGGTCGGGCCCTACATGTAAGGGACTTTCTACTGTAAGTTGCAGAAAGGGAAGTGGAGGTCTGGAGGTACTGGGACATTTACTCAGTGAAGTCTGACTGGCTGAACACACAGTGCGAGGTCGGCCTCTCCTGACTGATGCTATCAGATACGCTGAGAGGTACAAGGCCCACAATCACTTTTGAGCTACAGATAACAGTTTAGAACAACCGGCGTATCTGTGTTTTGGGAGACATGGAGTAAACACTTACCTCTCTGGACTGCCGTGGAGTGCTTCCAAGCTTCACGCCTTGGGGAGAGAGAAAAGAGAAAAGAGACACAGAAAAAATCAGCACTTAGGTAAACAACATGGTTTTCAGCTCCTTGTGGAAGAGAGGTAGGAGCTACTGATGCATCAGAGGCTGCGATAATTTAACGCTTCTTTCACTTAATCGTCTACTTTTGATCTGCACGAAAACCACAGCTGATCATCTCGTCCACAGAGGGAAGACAGGTAGCTCTATCTGTGTAATGAGCTGCCACAAGCATGAGAAGTTGGTAAATGAGTTGTGTGCCAGTAGCGAGGAGTGAGGATGAGACGGGGGAGGGGGGGGAGAAAAAAGCACATGGAAAGAGAGGGAAAACGAGATGCTATTTGTTTTAATTTGGGAGAAGTAAGAAAGAAAAGAGAGAGGGGGGGAAGAGAGAAATTAAATAAAACTGAGAGAACCAGTCGACTCTCTCTGGGATAGCTGGAGAGTGATAAAGACATTCAGAGTGGTTTTGTGGCAGCCTCGGGGACAGGTGGGAATGCGTATCGGCAGATGTGTGGCAGCAGGACAGACGATGCGTTTAGCGCTCTGTCTCCAGCTGGACATCTCCTTTCCTACGGTCCCCCCCCCATCCCACTGATAGATAATCAGGCTGACAGCTCTGAGTGGGGCTGCATGGCTGCTGATGGGGGGGGGAACGCAGACACCTCAGCCTGAGTGGCCTGTCACTTCCAATCTGAGGAGGGAAGTGATGGGAACCTGCACACAGCTGGGGGGTGGGGGGGGGGGGGAGGAGGGCCATAGAGGCAGGCCACAACCTTCCCTAAGTAATGAGATCTGCGGATCCCTATCTCGCATTTAACCACGCTTCGCTGGGGAGGGAATAAAATGTGTTGCCCAGACGCAATGTTGTTTTAGATTAGTATGCCGCTGGAGAGCTCGGCGTTGCTGTCTGAATCTTTGCTCGTCTTCATTCTTCTGAACGAGACACGGAGGAGGGGAAAGAAAAAAAAAATGAGGAGGCTAAGGAGGCGGCGTGTGACATTTTCTAATCTTGTTTAGGTGCTGTTGTGCTATTTGATCTTCTAACCCTCATGATAGCTCATGTAGGATGTGAATCTTCTATATCAGTGTACATGCAGAAACACATGAATATTTATCACAACACACACACACAGATGCCGTCACCGGGGTAACACGTCCAAGCACAACAATAGCAACAGTCGCTCAGTGTCTGCTGTTCTAAACTGATGGAGTGGTGTACGAGCCCCCCCCCCTTGTAGACCTGGCCATCTCTTCAGGAAACACGCTTACTTATTGATCTGGAAAGCCCCATCAAGGTGGTAATTGAATTCTCCAAAAGGTTTAATTGGTTCTGTTTGAGGCGTGTTTCGGCGCGGCCGTGGTTACGAGTTTGTCACAGCTGATGGTGTCAGCTCTGTCACACTTTCCCATCGCATGTCACACCTCACTCCAATTTCCAAACCTTTTATTGTGGCAGTCCTCTGAACCACTGACACAAATCAGGATACAAAGTATTTGCAGCAATCCAGCAGACTATATGACCTTGATTTATATCATTTGTTCTGCAATTTGCAAGAGAAACAAGATAAATGAAATGAATTTAGATTCAGGCGGAGGCTCTTAAACCGCACACTCTGATCTATTCAGCATTCAGGGACTAAGATGTTTTGTTAAAGGTGTTCTGAAGTAATCCACCATGACTTGATTCCATTTCATAACTCTGACAGTTTTTGCGACAAAAAACAGTTTGTGCGCTCCGTCCCTAAAAGTGTTTCACTCTCCCAAATATGTAACAAGAATTACACTTGATGAGAGAAACATTATGTCACGATGGTGAGAGTGTAACTGAAACAAGCAATAAAGCTATATAAACGGGATTTCAGGGGGATTTGTAAACATCATTTATCTTTGTAGCATCTGTTTGGTTGAGGGTAATAGTTGCTGTTTGATTGCAATTTCACACTCAGTCAATTCCACTCAGCAACTATGCTATTGATTTTTTACTGCTGCAGAGTGAAACAGTGATAAATTGTAAGGACTGAGATTTCATCTGTGAGACACGTACAGATGTAAAAGCTTCTGCAGAAGACGAGTCTTTGTACAACAAGTCGTTTTTATAAACCATCTTAAAAGTGGATGCTTCTTACAAAGGAATATTTTGAATGTTGATTTTAGAGTTTCATTCTGCATCACTTTTTATTTATTTATTAGCTGTGTTCTGCAAAATCAACACACACGCAAAACATCTCTGCAGCACAAAGGAAAGGTTTCAGGATAAATGCATCATGTCGGATGCTGAAATGGGAAGAAAACAAATGATGAATAAAGCCAAAGTTGTTGTTTTTTAGATCGTCAGACATTAAATGCCAAACTGTGTGTTGTTCTGCGTTGGTATAACTTATTTTAGAAGCTCCAAAAAGCTTCTGGTAAACTCCTTCTTAGTCTATAGTTCACATCAAAGATCAGCAGAGGATGTCTGACTTTGATTCTTTGAGCATTTCTCTGTAATTTCACCATGACTGAAGCTGATTCAAAAAGCAGAATCTGCTGTTGAGCCTCGTCCTCTGTTGTCCTCTAAAAGCAACCTTGAGCATCCACCTCTTTCTCTCCCAGACACAAAGCCTCTGAATATTCATGCAGACGAGCCAGCATTACTACGAGGATCCATATAAACAAGGGCCACATCATTAGCGGGTCCATTATCATCCCTTCCTCTAAAAGACCCCTTGTACGTCTCTCTAACAGCGACACACATCAAACATCCTCTGTCTGCCACTGCCGCCGAGGAGGAGCAAAGGACAGAAACAATGTGAAATAATGAGCTTGTTAAGTGAAGGATTGTGGCCTGGATGTTCTGGGAGAACTTGTTTAATGGCCGGTTTGAAGCAGAGACAGGCCAGGAGGCTGCTGGAAGCCAGACAAGGCAGTCCTCCTCCAGCTCACTATTAAGGCCAGGCCGTCACCATAAACCTTTCATTAGTCATTCAGAGCAGGTCACACTGAGCCACTGTGACCCCGACCAGCTGCACCCGACGAACCACCCACACCTGCACTGTGCTCACACGCTCCTCCTTCACTTGACTCTATGTGGGAACACAGGGCTCAGGCCTGCTGGTGCGGGTTTATCAGAGGTAAAAACGCTCGAGAACAGAGGTATTAGCCTCTAAGCTCTGCTCCATTGATAGTTTAACTTGTTGTGGTAAAAGATGAAACAATGTTTCGGCTGGAGCTGAAATCCTCCAGGACCGGGCCAAAGAGAGAGAGCAGCTGCTGAGGAGGAGGAGGAGGAGGAGTAGGAGGAGGAGGTGATGGGTGAGCAATCAGTGAATCAGGATTGAAGACGTGCCCTGCAGAGGATCTCTTAAAACTTAAAAAATGTGTGGCATCATCTGAAGACTGAAATGTGTTTCGAAGAGAAGCTTGGAAGCTTCAAGACGTTCTTGTGTGTTCACAACTCAAAGGACCGGTTTGGCAGTGAGTGAAACTATAACACACCTTTAAGCCAATCAGATACGATGTACTGTTAAAGAAACACGAGCAGAACACCAGGAAACTGATCAGGAGGAATCTTAATCCATGGGACATTAATGCCAACAGACATTGTACTCTTAGCTCATACACTGAAGTTTCTGATTCTTAGTAAGAGCTGCTCCCATCAAAGGACTGGGGTTCAAGGACACAGTTCATGGCATGAATTCAGCCATGTATTTGAATTTTCTACCATACGCGCTTACTTCAACTGCCTGCCTCCAGTGTTGAAGCTAATACAACAGTGCAAAAAAAATCTGGCCCCTTATTATAATGCTTATGAAGAAAAAAGGTCTTTTAGTCTCCGTAGTCCTTTTTTATTTATCGTAGAGTTGGAAATCGGGGACAGAGAGAGTAGGGAATGACATGCGGGAAAGTAGCAAAAGGTTGGACTTGAACCCAGGCCGCCCGCTTCGACGACTATATATCAGCACCCCCAGGGCTGAATTTTTATACAACTCATTAGGTTAATTTATAAAAATGGAGTAATTGAGCATTGTCTTGCTTTTAGTTTTAACCTGAGAAAAAGGTTCTGAATAATTCTTCGAAATCCAACATTCAGAGAGAACACAGAAAGTAATGCTAGAGTTCTTGGTTGGCTTTAAAATGACTGTTTACTAAATGTTTATACGTTATTACGCTATATACACTAATTGTAATTCTGTACAACAGTTATAAAGTCAAAATCAACTTCTGAGATAATTCACTTCATGAACAAACAGAAGCTCCTCAGTCTCTGGATGCTCTCACCTCCTGGATGTGGAGCACAGAGCCGAGCGAGCAGCTGGCATCACAAGAGCTTACCACCTATACAAAGGTTGCAAAGTGTTAGAAAATAAAAAGGTCTGCTGCTCAGCCAAATGACAAAGCCCCGTCATTACCTGTGCATAATGCATGTTGACATTTTTGATTCTGGCTCTGTGTAGTAATTACTCCTTATTAGTCTGTATTGTTTGTTTCAGGTCAGGCAGCAGAAGCACAGCACGTGGTCAGAAAGTAGAAGATCTGACTTTGGACTTAGCCTTGAAAATATCAGACAAAATATGCATTATGCAATAACATTGTTCAATGTAGTTATAAAACTATGACACGTTAAAAATGTATAGCTATCTTAAATGTATATGTCAAATTTTGTTACAATGTTTACATTTAAATGTCTAAATTAATAAAAATTGACTAAACCTACAGTATATGATATTTTATAGTTGTTGTTGAATACTAACATTAACCTCAAATATTTCCAACAGTTTACATGAGCCATAGAAATTCGGAATTTTATAGTTGTAACGGGACGTGTCTTGTCTTGGTGGCTGCCATGACAGACATGAAATGTTTATTGTTGCCATGGAAACACCGGATGCTACGTCAATGACCGCTGCAAAAGGAAGCGGGAGCTGCTGCTGAAAGCTGCTGTACTGTTGCTGTACGTGCTGCTTCAATAACAATGTCATATAGATCATCAATCAATCAATCAATCAATTTGTAT